AACAAAATGTCCTGCGCAGTCTAGATAGAGGGGATGGGGGCATGAGGCTGAGGCTGCCCTGTGACCCCAGCCATAAAAGCTTCTCTTTGATAGTGTGTTCTAAGAACTGACGGCTGGAACAGTCCACTGGGGACAGGAACGCACGGTCCATCTGTTCAATGCCACGCAGAGCATCTGCCATTCAGCTTGGTGCCCGGGCACACGCCTGGCATCTTGCTACTCAGGAGGATGAGATTGGAGGATGGGGGTTCAAATCCAACCCAGGCAGGAAAGCCCATGAGACTCTTCTCTCCAATGAACTAGCAAACCTCCCAGAAGTGGAGTTGTGGTTCAAATGGTACAGCTTCAGCCTTGAGTATCAAAGCTCTTGTCAGCACCCAGGCCCAGAGTTCAAGCCCCAGGACTGGCACAAAATAAAGAAAGGAAGGAAGGAATGAGGGAAGGAAGGGAGAAAGGAAGGGTGGGAGGGAGGGAAAGGAAAAGTAGCTGAGCGCCAGTGGCTCACGCCTATAATCCGAACTACTCAGGAAGCTGAGATCTGAGGATCACAGTTCAAAGCCAACCCAGGCAGGAAAGTCCGAGAGACTCTTTTATCTCCAATGAACCACCAGAAAACCAGAGTGGCTCTGCAGTATTCTTGCAGGAAATAAAACTCAGGGCAGGGCCTAGGCCCTGTGTTCAAGCCCTATGACCAATCAAAAACAATCAAAGGGAGCCGGAAAGATCTGGTGAAAATGTGACTCACAGTAATACAGAACCTATGTGACTCTCAGACTCAAGGTGTGTCCTGAACTCTGGATCTAGTGGCTGGGAAGGTGGCTTAGTGGTAGAGCGCTTGCCTAGCATGAATGAAGCCCCTGGGTTTGATTCCTCAGTACCACATAACAGAAAAAGGCAGAAGTGGCGCTATGGCTCAGGAGGCTGAGATCTGAGGATCGTGGTTCAAAGTTAGCCTAGGCAAGAAAGTCCATGAATCTCTTATGTCCAATAAACTACCAGAAAACCAGTAGTGGTGCTCTGGCTCAAGTGGGAGAGAGCTTGCCTTGAACTGAAGAGCTGAGGGACAGCACCCAGGCCCTGAGTTCAAGACCCACAACTGACAAAAAAAGGGGGGGGGAATCTCAGGAGTGCTATAAATTGGCTCCTGATTTCCCAGCCTCCTTCCTGTTTTGCACTGAGAAATCTGTGCTGTCCCTCAACCCCCTCCCCCTCTCCCTCCCCCTTCTCCTTCTCCTCCACCACTACCACTACCACCTTCTACCTCCTTTCCTTCCTCCTCCTCTTCCCAACCCAGAGTCCTAGTAGGGGCCTTATACCAACCTGCCAGTAGCCAAGAGGCATTCCTTAGTGTCCCCTGGTATCATACTCTCACTTTTTAAATAAACATTGCCTCTGTTCTCACTTACCCTGAGTCTTTGAGGGAATAAAAAGACCCTAGGATAGTATGAGGATCCTTCTCATCTCAGCTGTCTGGGCTGGCTTTGAACGGTGATCCTCAGATCTCAGCCTCCTGAGTAGCTAGGATGACAGGCCTGAGCCACCGGCGCCTGGCTGTCCTTCTAGTCTTTTTCCCTTTCTGCCTCTCCCTCAATCCCTGTCTGAGACCAGACCTTGGGGGAAGGAGAGTTACAGTGACTCCCCACATCTCAAGTAATAGCCTGATGTCGTGAATTTCTGTCACTCCACCTTCTCCAGAGAATGTAAGGAAGAAGCTAGCAGGACAAGGCAGTCGGAACCAAAAAGAAAATGGATGCTGTCATAATTTTAAATAAATCTTCTTAGAGCTCCCCGTGGCTGGTTGGTGTCATTTTTCCCAAGCTCATGGGTGTAGGATTCTGCTTTGCAAATACAGTGTGAATATTTACACCAGAGAGATGGCTGGATGCTACAGAAATGCACCCATTCCCTCCCTCTCTCCCTTTCTATTTCTGTTCCTCTTATTTTTCTTGCTTTTCTTCCCATTGTGTGTGTGTGTGTGTGTGTGTGGGCACCCACAGGCGCACACTGTGTGTGACTGAACCCATAGCCTTGAGCCCCCACTCCAGCATTCTCTGTAGATTATGATGATGATGATGATGTGATGCTAGTCTTAGTGTTTGAATTCAGGGCCTGGGCACTGTTCCTGAGCTTTTATGCTCAAAGCTGGCACTCTACCACTTGAACCACAGCTCTACTTCTGATTTTTGGTGGTTAATTGGAAACAAGTCTGAAGGTCTTTCCTGCCCAGGCTGGCTTTGAACCTCAATCCTCAGATCTCAGTGTCAGAGATAGTGAGGATTAGCTCAGTTCTTGTTTTTTTTTTGGGGGGGTCCGGTCATGGGGCCTGAACTCTGGGCCTGGGCGCCATCCCTCAGCTCTTCAGCTCAAGGCAAGCGCTCTACCACTTGAGCCACAGCACCCCTTTCCGTTTTCTTGTGGTTTATTTGAGATAAGAGACTCACAGAGGGCTGGGAAGGTGGCTCAGTGGTAGAGCACTTGCCTTGCATGCATGAGGCCCTGGGTTCGATTCCTCAGCACCACATAAGCAAAAAGAAAAAAGCCGGAAGTGGCGCTGTGGCTCAAGCGGTAGAGCGCTAGCCTTGAGCTGAAGAGCTGAGGGACAGTGCCCAGGCCCAGAGTTCAGGCCCCACAACCGGACCCAAAAAAAAAAAGTTCATTGTCTTAAGCAGGGCACTGGTGGCTCACACCCGTAATCCTAGTTACAGGCTGAGATCTGAGGATGGCAGTTCAAAGCCAATGTGGGCAGGAAAGTCCATGAGTCTCTGATCTCCAGTAAACCACTCAGAAATCCAGAAGTGGCGCTGTGGCTCAAGTGGTAGAGCGCTCGCATTGAGCTGAAGAGCTGAGGCAGGTCCAGAGTTCAAGCCCTACAACTGACAAAAAAAAAAGTCATTGTCAACATTTCCCAGCAGCCACAGCCCATTGGGAACAGAGGTGGGGAGGGAACTAACTGGAAAGATAGGGAGGGAGAATGCCTATGGGTGGAGGGCATTGTGAAAGCTCAGAGCATGGAACATTCATGAACAAGCAATTTATCCTATGTTCAGTTACAGCTCCATAAAAAAATTATATAGAGCCAAAGATAAAATAAAATGAAGGTGAGATAAGCCAGGCAACTAGTGGGGGGGGGAGGGGGCGGGGACAGAGGTGAAGGGAAGGCAGTCACACTCTGAACTAGAAAAATGTCTGCTTGTGTTTGATTCTGGTTGAGTCATCTCCTCAAAGGTGGGTGGATTCAGGGCAGTCCCGGAGAGGGAAAGGAATACAGGGATCTGCATTACAAAATGCCAACTACACTCCAACAGATAAGCAAAAGAAAAATACCTAGAGCTACTGACTCACACCAGTTACCCTAGCTACTCATGTGACTGAGATCCAGAGAATCATGGTTCAAGGCCAGCTCAAGTGGAAACGTCCTTGACGCTCATGTTCACAATAACAACCTAGGGTTGGGAACATGGCTTAGTGGTAGAGTGCTTGCCTAGCATGCATGAAGCCCTGGGTTCCATTCCTCAGTACCACATACACAGAAAAAGCTGGAAGTGGCACTATGGCTCAAGTGGTAGAGCGCTAGCCTTGAGCAAAAGAAGCTCTGGGACAGCACCAAGCCCTGAGTTCAAGCCCCAGGACTGGTAAAATAAAAAACAAAACAACAACAAAAAAAATCCAAAATGTTATACTAAAGGTGTGGCTCACGCTATATACATCTATATATACACACATGTACATGTCACATATGTGTATATATCACTTATCTATGTTTTATTACATATAGCAATTATATCTATCTACCTATGTATCTACAGCTCATTGAAAGAGAAGCTGTCTGGCATGCACAAGGCCCTGGCGTCCATCCCAACAGCAGGAAAAAAATAAACAGAAAGGCCTCAAAAAACAAAAAAAACAGAAAGGCCTCACCCCCAGAAAAAAAATTCTAGGGTGACTTGGGTCTGATGACAGAATACGCAATTTTAGTGTCTGTGTATGCTGGTCCTGGATCTTGAACTCAGGGCCTAAGCCTAAGCAGTGTCGCTGTTCCTGTCTAGGCTGGCGCTCCACCACTTGAACCACAGTTGCGCGGTTCTGGCTTTTTCTTTTTCTTGGGTTGGCCGTGGGGCTTGAACTCGGGACCTGGGTGCTGTCCCTGAACTCCTTTTGCTCACGGCTGGCGCTGTACCACTTTGAGCCGCAGCTCCACTCCCGGTTTTCTGGTGGTTAACTGGGATAAGTCTCACGGACTTTCCTGTCCGGGCTGGCTTCGAACCTCCATCCTCCCATCTCAGCCTCCAGAGTAGCCAGGATCACAGGCGTGAGCCACCAGAGTGTGGCAATTGATATTTCGAGGTGATGATCGCAATTAGCAAAACGACTAAACTGAGCCCGGTGCGTCTCCCACGCATCCCGGCATTTCCCGGGCCGCTTCATCCCAGTTCCCAACACCCACCTGCACCCAGGCCCCGCCGCTCCCCGCCCACCTGTTCGCGCTTGGCCAATCCCCAGCTGGCTCAGACATCAGGCGCATGCGCAGCGGCTCGTCCAGGCCGAGACGCGTGAATGCGCATGCTCTAGAGACCGCCTGGCCTTGGTCTCCGCCCCTTCCCATCTCCAGAGGCCGGCTGGAACGACTGCGCTTGCGTCTCGGTGGAGGGGCGTGGCCTCGCGCGGCACGCTAGCTCTCGCGAGAAGCCGGCGCGCGATTTCGTGGGCGCCCCCTCCCTTCTCTCGGTCTCCCCGGTGCAGCTGCAGCGTCAGCCCGGTCCGGTCCGGGCCTCGGTGGCGGCGGCGGCGGCTGCGGCGCTTCGGCCTCAGCCCCT